TGTATGTTATAACTGAAAGAATGGTATGGTATAATTCCAGTGGGTGGTTTTGTTCTGTTAAGATAGACACAGAAGATAGTAGAAAATACACAGATTATTTTTGGATGCTGTGAGTTAAGGGACATGTATTCTTTGTACTTCTCTGAACACGTTTCGTAATCTAAAAAAAGAAAAAGCTTTTAAAAAATAGGGCAAGGATTCTCCACTCCTAGTTTGACAGAGAGCAGAGGTCGGGAACCAGTTTTAGTTGAGATGAAATAGGCTCACAAAGGAACAAATACATTGAAAAAATAAATGAGCATTGTCTGAAGAGAGTAAATATTCGTGGCTAATGTTTGACAGACGTGCTAGATCTACCCAGAGGCACGTTGTCTCCCGCACTGAACAACCTGGGGGTGGAACTGGGGGATAGTCCTTGCTCACCCAGGTTACAGGGGCAGGGGGAGGAGCCAGAATTCCACGCACAGAAGACAAAGGTCTCATGTTCAGGTGTGTCCGCTCACTGGCTGACTTGGGGTGTGCGGCCCCTGTTTTCTCGTTTGCAAAACTGCGCTTCTAGGATGTACCTTCCAGAGCTGCAGTGGGGTTTCACAGCCGATGTGGGGCAAACGCTATATTGTGAACACTTGTATTTTGGAATCTCCTTCAGAGCTTCCAGCACATTCTTTTGATTATCCTCAGTGGTGGCAAACCGTCTTAGCTTAAAGATGGTGCGGTTTTTGGACTCAGCTGAGCCTTGTTTGCAGCATGCTCTGGAGGTTAGGGCGATTAAATAAGTAATACCATTTGAGGCCCAGAAGGAGGTGGGGCTCCAGACCTGCCCCAGCCTCACCCAGCAGGAGGCCACGGGCCCCAGGAGGCCACTAAGCACCTGGAAGGTGGCTGATGTGAACTGAGGTGTGCTTAAGTGCAAAACGTACACCAGACTCTGGAGATATAAATAATGTACAATAGCTCACGAGTAATTTTTCCATGCTGATTACATGCTGAGATGATACTATAGGGGATATAGTGGCTTGACTAAAAATATTCTATTAAAATGAATTTCCCCCATTTCTTTTTTACTTTTTAAGAATGCGGCTACTAGGAAACTTAAAATTGCATATGAGGCTCTCATTGTATGTCTTCTGGGCAGTGCTGGTCTGGAGAAGGGAATTCTTTTTCTTGTATAGCTCATTAACTGATCTTGTAATTCTGGAATGATTCTTGAATTCTAAAAATATTTAGAATGGACAGACAACGGAGTGAAGTCATCATTAGAATAAAAGAATATAGCTTTGCCAGATGATTAATTGGAAGGAAAACACATATTTTGATGTGTAGGTTCCAGTGTGATTTATTTTAAGCTTCGAACATTGGTTGTCAAGCGTCATAATGTGCCTTGTGTGTTCAGACAGGACTCAGTGGTTAAGACAGCGAGAGACGCCCCCTCGACCTGGGGAGGCCACAAGGCTTCCCCAGAGGTGGGCCCGGAGGGGATTTGGGTAGTGAGGAGCAGCCCTGCCCCGAGTATCCAGAAAGTGGTCTGAGCCGGAGGTCGGCCACGTATCGCCCGTGGACCAAATCTAGCCTTCTTCCTGTTTTATACAGTGCGCAAACTAAGGATGGTTATTAGGTTTTTAAATGTGTGAAAAAACTGGAAGAATTTTCTTGTGTAACGGCAAAATTATATGGAATTGGCGTGAGTATCTATTTAATAAAGTCTCGTGGGACCACAGTCATACCTGCCCACGTACTGTCTGCTTTCATACAACAGGGCAGAATCGAGTAGTCTCCACAGTGACCGCTGGGCCCACAGAGCCAAAAATATTTCCTGTCTGGCCCTTTACAGAACCAGCTTGCCATCCCCTGGGCCAAGGGATCAACTTGATTCTGCAGCCCACATTGAAAGTGGTGTCTCAGGCATGGGGGATGCCTGAGAAGGGGTGGATTTGGGGCCCTGGATATGGCCAAGAATGGAGGGGCTTCTGTGGCTCAGGGCTGAGGAGGTGAGGACCCCAGCTGGGCCTGAGTCTCCAGGGCTAGTGATTTTCAAGGTCATCCTGACGTTGGGAACCTCAGCAATGAAAGAGAAGAGAGTGATGGATTTTTCTGGGTAAAGACGCAGGAATGGGAAGGGTGACTCTTGGGCCTGCAGGGAACTGTTAGAAGGATGCTGTGTTTGGGAGAGTTAGTAGCCGTGGAGGCAACTGGAAATATGCAAAGAGATGGGAGATCAGAGCAAGGGGGCACAGAGGGACACCCAGAGAGCCATAAGGGCCTGAGGATCCAGCATTAAGCTGCCTGGTCCCAGGACATTGAAGGAAATTAGCACTGAGACAACCCCTACCCTGCTGAGCCGGCTGGACCCCCAGCCCCCGCCCTCTTCCCCAAGAACCCATCCAAGCACTGGACACAGAAAGAACTCCATTTAGGGAACATCCTAAATCAGCCCTGGATTTAAGGGTAAATGTACAAAGTGTAGAGGGTGCAAAGAACAATATAATTTAGCCTGAGAACCGCCTCCAGTTGATTATTCAAAAAAGTTTTACTGGGCTTCCCTGGTGGCGCAGTGGTTGAGAGTCTGCCTGCCGATGCAGGGGACACGGGTTCGTGCCCCGGTCCGGGAGGATCCCACATGCCGCGGAGCGGCTGGGCCCGTGAGCCATGGCCGCTGAGACTGCGCGTCTGGAGCCTGTGCTCCGCAACGGGACAGGCCACAACAGTGAGAGGAAAAAAAGTTTTACTGTGGTAAAACATACATGACATAGGGAATTCCCTGGCAGTCCAGTGGTTAGGACTCCATGCTCTCATTGCCGAGGGCGTGGGTTCAATCCCTGGTTGGGGAACTAAGATCTCGCAAGCCGCACGGCGTGGCCAAAAAAAATAAAACGAGGGACTTCCCCGGTGGTACAGTGGTTAAGAATCCGTCTTCCAATGCAGGGGACTTGGGTCCAATCCCTGGTTGGGGAACTAAGATCTCACATGCCTCGAGGCAAATCAGCCTGAGCGCCACAACTACTGAGCTCGCATGACTCAACGAGAGAGCCCACGTGCTGCAAGCTACAGAGTCCATGCACTCTGGAGCCCACGCACCACAACTAGAAAGAGAAAACCCACACGCCACAACTAGAGAGAAGCCTGCACACTGCAACAAAAGATCCCGTGTGCTGCAACTAAGACCCGACACAGCCAAAAATAAAGAAATGGAGGGAGGGGGAGGAGGGAGGGAGGGGGAGAGAGAGAGAGAAAGAAAGGAAAGAAAGAAAAGAAAGAAAGAAAGAGGAGAAAGAAAGACCACTAAAAAAAACCCACCAAAAAATGACATAAAAATTACCCTCTTAACCGTTTTTATCTGCACAGTTCAGTGGCATTAGGGACATTCGGGTACACTGTTGTGCAACCATCACCACCATCCATTTCCAGAACTTCTTCATCTTCCCAAACAGTAACTCTCCCCATTAAACACTAACTCCCCAGCCCCCGCCCAGCCCCGGGCACCTACCCTTCTATTCTCTGTCTCTATCAGTTTGACTATCCCAGGTACCTCATATAAGTGGAATCATACAATATTTGTCCTTCTGTGACAGGCTAGTTTCACTGAGCATGTCCTCAAGGTCCATCCATGTTGTAGCAGGTGTCAGAATTTCCCTCCTTCTTAAGGCTGAATAATATCCCATCATATGGACAGACTCCATTTGGTCTATCCATTCCCAGTCAATAATTTTATCATACCGGCTTCAAGTCTTCTTTGTTTTTCTGAGAGCTTGAGTTGCAGCCCCTCTGTGACGCTTCCACCCAGCCACCCCGCCCCACAAGGCTGGTCTGCACCCTGCCCAGCGTGGCCTGAAATCTCGGCCATCCATGATCTCTGACCAGGAAATAGCTTTACACACATCTCTTCATTGACACAGGCGACATCATACCTGTGGTCATCCTACTCCCAGCTTGGTGGGCGGCGTCATGAGCCCCATTGACAGTAATGTCTGGTTGGTTCACATAGCTGCCTGGGCTTTTGTTTCATTTTTGCTGGAATTAAAATTGCTTTTTGCCAGTGTGTCGGGTGTTGGGTTTTCATTTCATGTTCTCAGTCCTTCTGTTTCCACTTCTGTGAATCGCCTGCTTTTTCTGTTGGGATATTGCTCCTTTTTTTGCAGGGAGTCTTTAGGAATTCTGTATATATTCTGGATCCGATCCTTTGGTTTCTAGTTTATTTTTTTAAAGAATGAGTTGTCTGTTAACTTGGGTCCTTCACCTATCACTTGTGACCCCTTCCCAGCTGGGGCAGCCAGCGTGTGTTGGGACGTCAGGCTGGGCTTTGGGATGATGAGGACACACGGGGCAAGTGAGGGTGGAGAAGGCTGGGAAAGGTGGGAAGGATGAAGGAGAACCAGGATGTTCCCTGGGAAGCATTGCAGATGGCTGAGAATCTCAGGAAGGAAGGGACACAGGGGTGAACTCTGTGTCCTGGAGGTTTGGAAATTGCTGCTGTGGGAACAGATTCCTCTAGACCAGTTCTCTCTCTCTCTCTTTTTTTCTTTGGGCCGTGCTGCACGGCTTGTGGGATCTGAATTCCCCGACTTGGGATTGAACCTGGGCCCGTGGCAGTGAATGTGCCAAGTCCTAACCACTGGACACCAGGGAATTCCCTAGACCAGTTCCTAACAGGGTGATTTTGCCCCCTGGGGACATTTGCAATGTCCGGAGACATTTTTGGTTGTCATAGTGGAAAGGGTTGCTAGTGGAATCTGGTGGGTGGAGGCCAGGGATGCTGCAAAACACCCTACAATGGACAGGACAGCCGCCACCACCAAGAATGACTCAGCCCCAAGTGTCCGTAGCGCCACTGTTGAGAACCCAGCTCACCCTCCACATGGCCTTGTGCTAGCAGGACCCCTTCTGTGGTTCCACAGCTTCCGTTTCCAGCCCACTGGTGTGGGGTAGGATGCTGCCCCAGGAATACCCAGTCCAAGTTCATGACCTTGGCCATGCCCTTTCTCTGTCTTCCTCCCCCAGGCAGGTCTGGAAGAGCCCCGCCTGGGCCCAAGTGTGCAGAGGATGGAAACACTCCCCCGGCAATGTCTCTGGGCCGCCTCCTTCGCCGGGCCTCCTCCAAAGCCTCGGACCTCTTGACCCTCACCCCCGGTGGCGGCGGTGGGCCCCCTTCCGTCCTGGATGGGGAGATCATCTACTCCAAGAACAATGTCTGCGTGCACCCGCCGGAAGGGTTGCAGGGGCTCGGGGAGCACCACCCAGGTGAGCTCAGAGTGGGGAGGCCTGGGGTGACAGGCCTGGGCTCACATGCTGGGAGAGGAAGGCTTGGGGTCACAGACCTGGGAGGGGAGGGCTGTGGAGTCACAGGCCTGGGGAGAGCTGGCTGATCTCTGTAAAGTTAGCCAGCTCCTGCGCCACTTCCCCGTTTGCCCTAATTTCCCCATCTCGGAAGCAGGCCAGTGACCTTTGACTCATGAAGGGGAGGCAGGACGGTTTAAGGGGAATTAGCCTGAATTTGCAAGTAGAAGAGGGCATTTGAGCACTACAGGGCTTCTGGGAGCAGGGAGCCCCCTGCGCGCGGGGAGGGAAACCAGAGGGAAGCGGGGCATCCTGGGGCAACCTGCCCAGTGAGAGGCTTTCCGCCAGGCCCCCTTGAGCATGTGCAGGAATGAGGCCCTCAGGACAGTCTTGGTGGTTTCGTCCCTTCCTGCAGTCCGGAGTGTGGGGTGAGGACTGAGTGGGGCGTGAAGCAGGCCTAGGAATCTGGGGACGTGGAAATCTTTGATCCTGCACACCCTCTGTGCTTAAATCCTCTGTTTTGAAATCGGGGAAGAAAATTCTTAGACTCTGCAGGGATGGAGATGGAGGAGGGTCCTTTCCTGACCCTCCACATGGGAGCCCGGAGTTACCCTGAGCCATTCCCAGGACACTCCAGCCCATGGCTCTCCTTAGTTCCGGGAGTGGGAAACTTTTTCCTGTAGTGGCAGTGACTTTGCTATCTTTTGCTAAGCCACAGAGAAAGAAACTACATTTTTTCCAGGGCTCCAGTTGTATTTTGAGCCCCAAAACGGCAAGCTTCCTTGTGCACTAAGGGAGTGGGCACAGATTCTCTCTGCAGGAGTGTCACTGACTGTGACTGTTCTGAGGCAGGGGGTGTTAGACCTGGTTATGGCAGCCCAGCACTCACACCTGAGTCCCTCAGCCCTGCTGCTCTGAGGAAGCATCAAAAAGATGGGTTAGTGATACTCGAGGTCTGTGTGGTCCTTTGTCATTTGCGCAAATGACTTGCAACAGACAAATGTATCGCCTTATGTAATTTGCACAACAACCTCATGAGAGTGGCTGGAGCCTGGGCAGGCCTGTCTCTCGGACAAGGAGGCTGGTGCTCAGAGGTGCTCCCCAATGCCAGCCTGGGATGGAGGTGGGGTGAGGGCAAGCCCTGGGCTCATCCTGTGGGCTCCCTAGGCTGCCGAAAGGTGCTTCCGTATCCCCAGTCCCAGTGCACCTGCAGCCTGGCTGCAGCCCACCTGAGTCCAGACAGAGGTCCCACATCAGATGTCAATACATTTAAAATTATGAATTACAATCAGATCTGGGCACTTTAATGCATGCAAATTATGTGTCAACAAAGTACTGAATAAATAAAGTAATAAAAAAGGCAAGTTTAAATTATACTAATGAACTCTTTGGAAAGTATTCTGACCTCCTGCCTTGATAAGCATATCTTTACAGTCACCCGGACAGTTAGGTGCAGACTTAGAATCACCAGACCCTCCAGGTTCCAAAGCAGGAAAGCCGGCTTCCAGCCCCAGCTCTTTCCTGCACTACAGGGGCCCCGGGTGTTCTCCTGGTGACACCACAGCCCCATCCACAGCCCCCACATACAGCTCAGGTGGGAAGCCCCGAGCAGGCCCTGGAAGCAGACTCTGAACTGTGAGGGCAGGGGATTCAGGGTCCTGGTCCCTGGAGTGTGCTCTAGAAGGGGGTGCAGGCTCTGGGTGGCATGTCACCTTGACCCTGTGGACGCTTGACCACGGGACCAACTCCGAGGACTTGGGGTGCCAGGTGCAGAGGTTCTAGACCTGGGTCTGAGGGTGTTACATGTTCTGGGCATAAAACAAAAAAAAATAGCAACAGCCTTTGGAGGGCTTCTGGTATCATCCTGTTGTGATGGGAGGCAAGGGAGAGGGGGCCAGAGGTCTCAGGCTCCCTTCCCAACCCAAAGCCACGTGATCTGCGGGTGTGGAGACACTTGGCCTCACCCGAACGTTATCCTTCTGCATAACTGGCTGACAGCCCTGGAGTTCCCCCCACCTCTTTTGGAAATGGGAGCCAGGCTAAGGATTCTGGGTTGAGCCAGAGCCCTGGGGCATGAAAGGGACCCCAGCTCCTGCCCTAGGGGCTTCTCAGAACAGAAACCAGGAGGCCTGGGAACCTGGTGCAACAGGCCCAGGAGTCAGGACACCCCGAAATGGCAGGTGCTGCAGGAGGAAAGGCCACCTTACCCCAGACTGAGCGGTCAGGGGCCCGAAGAGCCCACCCACGCACTGCCGGCAGCCTTGGAGAATCGCTCTTCTCATTTTTGTCAGCAGTGCAGGGCATGACATCGAGATGGCCCCTTCTTCCAAAACAGTGGTAAGGAAGAAATGCTAAGAAGCTACAGCCGACTGGAAAAAGCCCCAGTGCCACTCATCTTGGATTTATTCTTTTTGGGACATAACAATAAAATCTGCTGCCTGTATCCGTCCTAAGATTGTGGTGAGGCTGTGAAGCCAGTGGGGCTTCTGGGTCCCTGTGCTCCCCCCAGTTCCCTGGGCTTGCCCGGACCGGGAGGCTGATGGAGGCAGGGAAGCTCTGGAGCCCCCAGTCAGTGGACAGGGTGGGGCTCTGAACGAGAGGAGGAGGGAAAGCACAGGATGGGCTGCTGCTTGAGGCCCCGGGCCCACTGGATCTGCTAAGTGTGTGTGCTTAGAAAATGCCCACAGCGCTCATTCATCCTGAGCTCAACTGTATCCCTCAGGTGTGTTTTCTTAGGGCCAGGCTGTGTCTGGAGCCTGGCTAGTCTGCACAGCCCCACAGTTTAACTACCCCAGGTGTGGCTCCTACGAGAAACCAGCCAGCGGCACCTCGCGCATGGCCTCCCTAACCGCCTGTGCTTCTGACCCCTCTTAGGTTACCTGTGCTTGTACATGGAGAAGGATGAACTGCTGGGGACCACCCTCATCCTCGCATGGGTTCCCAACTCCCGGATCCAGAAGCAGGACGAGGAGGCGCTGCGTTACATCACCCCCGAGAGCTCCCCCGTGCGCAAGGCACCCCGCCCTCGGGGCCGGCGTACCCAGAGCTCGGGGGCCCCCCCTCCGCCGTCCCCCATGGAGCCCAGGCCCACCCTAATCCCCAGAGATGAGGACATCCTGGTGGTGGCCCAGAGCATGCGAGACCCCGAGCGTGTCAGCCCTTCGCCCGAGGACGGGGAGAAGTTGGCCCTGGGCCTGGGGACAGACAGCTCCCTCCTGGCCTCTCAGCCAGCCCACAGTGACTCGGGAATCTTGTCGGCGGTCAGCTCGCAGGACGGGACGGAAGAGGGCCGGGAGCCGCGACCCGAGGCGGGCGAGGAGGAGGGCTCCTTGGAGCTGTCGGCCGAGGGCGTGAGCAGGGCCAGCTCCTTCGACTCGGACTCAGAGGCCTTCTCTTCACCCTTCTGCCTCTCGCCCATCAGCGCCGCCCTCGCAGAGAGCAGCAGCTCCGTGTTCCTGGAGAGCGAGAGCGGGTGAGTTCCTGACTCCCCACTGCCTCTCTGGAGCCAAGAGCAGCGGCATTTGTCCCCGCTCTGCTCACTGAGCGCTGAGGATGCCCGCATCCCATCCCGCCGGCACCAGAGCCTCCGCACCCTGTCCCCTCACTTCACGCCACCCTGGGGGATTGTGATGGACGCACAGTCTGGGGGAGGGGGGCTGGGCGTTCCCTCCCTCTTCTCTCCCCTTCCCTAGGACTAACCATTCCCTGCCAGGTCTGACTGGCCCCATAACCCAGTCTAACCCCCCTGGTGCCAGGCCCCAGGAGTCCAGGTGTCTTTTGTGCTCATCTCTGGAGGAGATGGTTGGTCATCCCCCAACCCCCAGGCAAACTCAGGGAGGCCTGGGTGGTGGCCGAAGGCTTGTGGGGGAGGCCTGGTCCCCAGCCAGGCTCTGTGCTTTGCCTGGGGCCAAGCCAGGCACGCGGCCCGGCCCTCCAGAGGCGTCCGTAGCCTTTCTACTTCTCACACCCTCAAGCTGTAAGAGGCTGGAACACAACCCCAGGGGGAAGTTGGCAGCATTTACCGTACAGCCCCAGAGCCCAGGGGAACCAGATGCCTGGGCACACTGGTGGGCTCACCGGCCACACAGGCAGGGACCAGGGCGGGCAGCAGTGAGACCTGCCCCCTGCCTGACTGGGGAGGGTTGTTGAAGTCTCGTGGCGGCCACCACACAGCGTCGTTAGGGGGCCTCAGGGCCTCCCAGAGGTGGGTGTGCACGAGGCTCATGAACCCGGAGCAGCCGGGGCAGGCCTGGCATGGGCAGGTGTGGGACTTCTGCCGCCCCTTCTCATGCTCGGCCGTGGTCCTTGTTCTCATTAGATTTCTAGGCTAGCAATGGTGATGATAGTAAGTGCTGACATAATCAGACAGTCAGCACACAATTGTTGAGCTCATGAGATGAGATGGGCATGTGAGACGTGTGAATGGTCTGAGCTTTGCCTGGGCACTGGGCATGTGTGCCATGGGTTCATTCTTTCCATGCTCCCAACCGTCCATCCCAAACCCTGTGAGGTAGGTGCTAACGTCGCCCCCTGTGTATAGAAGAGGAAAGTGAGGCTCAGAGGTCACCCAGCTAATTTAGGAGCCGAGTCAGATTTGAACACTGCCGGGTCTACACTAGACCTAGCGCACATAAGGTCACATGAACTGATGTAATCCCAGGAGAAAAGGAGTAGGGCGGAGGAATGCAGAATGCTTTGCTGGCTTCAGCGGGAAGGAATTTGAGATGGATTCATTCCTGTTTTCTTCCCCTCAGTAGGATGTGGTCCATTAGAGCCCAAGGGTAAACTGATAACATCCATCTCGAGTACTGGAGGGTGCATGTAAGGGGAGCGGTCAGCTGTAGCCGAGGACTCCAGTGCCCCATGAGGTTCCCTGAGCCGTGTGCTGTTTCCCACCAGGAAACCAGGCTGAGAACATAACTCAAAGCCACGCCTGGGCCCTGCCGCCAGTGGGGCTCTGTCAGCACTCCCCCTGGTGGTGCCACACTAAGTGGCACTCCCCGTGCCCCTCCCTCAGCCACTTTCTGTCTCTGTGGATTTGCCTGTTCTGGACATTTCACCTCAATGGTATCATGCAACTTGTGTCCTTTTGTGTCTGGCTCCTTCCTTAAGGTCCATCCTAGTGTGTCAGCACTCCGTTTGTGTGTCTGGCTAATATTCCCAACAATTTCCACCTCCAGTTGGATTTGGAAGCATTATTCTGTATCGCGTGCAGACTCCTGAGCTAAAGCTGGGTGGCGTCTGTCAGGTGTGAAAGTTTGGCTGCCCCACCATGAGCCCTTTCTGTGGTCATGCTTTGGGAACCCTACTTTTACCTTCCAGATCCCTGCTCCACCCAGTTTAATTTAGGGGTCATGTTTCTGCTTAGAGCTGCAAGACGTGCTCAGAAGACTAGTGCTGTGAGGGAGCTCCCTCCCTCGCCGTGGAGCTCCAACAATACCATATTGCTTGCTTTTCTGGCCCAATCAGTCCAATTCAGCCAAGGCTTTGGGCTGGGGCAGGATGGCCATGAGTGAGGTCCCTCCCTGCCTCCTGGGAGCGTGTGCTTCAGTCAGGGGCTGATGTGGAAACAGCCTGTCTTTGAGACGGAATGTGAGAGGTATCACATGGAGGCACCCTGGTTCCTGACCCAGCCGTGCTTGACAGGTTGCTGGGAGCTTAAAAAAAAACAGATGTGATTTCAAAAGGGGCTGGGTGGGCCCTGGAATCTACATTTCCTGCCAGGCGGTCCCTGCAGTTCATGTTTACTTGCTTCTTTGCTCTCGGAGCTGAGTTGCAGTTTTGTCTCCCCACCGCATCTGAGACCTGGAAGCAAAGCTGGTGTTCCTCCACTCCCTCCCTCCCACAGCTCCTGCCCTGTGATGGGCCTGGAAATTGGGACTAAATGGTCAGTAGTACTGGGAGCTATAGAGCAAGGCTTCCCAGCCCAGCAAAAAATGAGAATGCTCCAGGCAGCTTTGAAGGCTCCTGATGCCCAGGCCACACACAAACTGATTGAACCAGAATGGCTGGGATGGGGCCCGGGCCTGGGCAGTGTTTGGCCTCCCAAGGGGTTTCCAAAGTGCTGCCAGGTATGAGAACCGCTGCTGGGGTGGGGAGCACGGGGAGAGAGATGTGGGCCTTGTGCCTCAGGCAGAGGGAATCTGGGTCGAGGTCCTGGAGCGCTGGCATCTGCTGGACCAGACACCCCTCAGGGAGCTTGTCTTTGAGGACTTGAATGCACTCATAGCGGCTCCTGGAGCAGAGGCTCCTAATTTAACTGGGAATTGGCTCCCTGGGAGGGGAGCAGGAAGGCTGGCTCATGGGATCCCTCTGGTGGCAGAACTGAAGAACTACACATGGAGGCTGAGCCTGAGGCTGGGGATGGGCGAGGAGGGGGAAGCAGCCCCCATCCGAGAGTCCCCTAAACATTTTGTTATGTGGCTGGTAGTTCACAGTAGGGCTGAGTCGTTAGAAAGGCAGTGTCCATTCGTGTGCTACCTGCGGGGTATAGCCTGGCACAGCCTCATCCCTAGATGGCAAGGCCACCTGCCATAGCCACCCCACCAGCCCCAGCACAGTGATGGCTGGAAATCCTTGACTATATGAGTGTCCAAGGACTATTGGGAAATGGGTGGACAAGGAGAGATGTGCTGCTGACTTGTCATCATGGACCCTCCTTCCATGGAGATCTGAGTTATACAGGCAGGGTTTAGGGTCTGTGGCTCTCAGCCCCATACCTTCCACAGTGTCAGAAATCAAGGCTTTGGATTGAGATGAAGGTGAGGATGACCACCGACAAGATAAGTGGCCATCCCGTCATTCGCTCCTGTCCTGAGAGGTACCCAGTCTCAAGGGCCAGTTGGATGAGGGTGTCATATAACAGGACCCGCATGTGGACCCCCGTGTGGCGTGTCAATTGCTCCCCCTTGGGGAAGTGTGTGGCGATATGTATGAGCTGAAACACAGCTCCACTCCCTAAATCAAAAGGTCTCTTCCGGAACTCGTCCTAAGAAATAATCTAAACTACAGAAATAAAGCACATTTGCATGAAGATGTTCATCATGCTATTCTTTACAATGGAGGAAAAAGGGGAAGAAGCTAGAGAAGGAGACCCATCCATTACAGTTTATCTTCCAGGTCAAGGGATTTTTAATGGGGGTCCATGAGCCCCCTGAAGTCTTACACCACTTCCTGTATGTGTGCTCATGGGTGTGCATTTTCCTAAGGAGGGGGCACCCTCTGACTTTCCAAAATGTTCAGAACCTCGGTACTGCCAGACAGAAGAATGTGTATTTGTAAAGGCTGTGCTGCAGCATGGAAATTTATAGTGCATCACAAACAAAGCAGGTAGCAAATGATGTGCACATTTTGATTGAAATCTATGGAAAGGCCTGATGCATGAATGAGGTGGGCCAAGCAGTGCTGCCCACTAGAACTTTCCAGATCTGTGCCTTCGAGACAGCACCACTGGCTTGCTCAGCTAGGGAACACTTGAAAGGTGGCTAGTGTGACTGACGCACTGAATTTTTAATTTTATGTGATATTGATTGAGATAAATTTAAGTGGCACATGTGGCCACTCTGTTGGACAGCACAGGTTGAGAGGAAGCTGTGCCAATTGTTAGGATAGCATGGTTACGAGTAATTTTTTTCTTTTCTCATGTTTCAAAAATGTTACAGTGTGGTTATATTAATCATGAACCCACACACAGCTTAGACTGGCTCACCCTTGTCCACTGTCTTGCATGCTTGTTTTTTTATTTTTGTTCTTTGGTGTTGTTTTGGCCGTGCCACACAGCCTGCGGGATCTTAGTTCCCTGACCAGGGATGGAACCCGTGCCCCCTGCAGTGGGAGCAGAGTCTTAACCGCTGGTCTGCCAAGGAAGTCCCTTGCATGCTTGTTAATGAGAAGACCTGCTAAGACCCTGTGAGGTCCTTCCCATGAAGCTGATGCTGATGGTCTGCCACCCTCGTCTCCAGAGTTGTCATCGGTGCCCCCACCCCCAGGGTAAATGCGTGCTGTGTTTCCCCTCTCTCATCCCCTCCTTTGTCATTCTTGGTGTGTGTTCTTGGGGCGGCCATCCCGAGTGAAGGGTGGCGTTCAGGTTACAGAACGAGCTGGGTGGCCTTGCCACGCAGGGACTCTCGCCGTGGCTTCATTGGGGCAGTGGTTCAGCCAGCCCAGATGTGGGTCCAGGAGAGCCGGGTACAGCCCCAGGGGGCCGCGGGCTGCCTGCCCTTGGGGTCTTGCTCCGATGCTCACCTGCCTCCTGACCTCCTGTCCTCTCCTCTTTTCCCACGCACGCGGTGTTTTGGCCAGCCGGCCCCAGCAGGCTCACCCTTCCCCAGCCTCCCTCCAACTGGAATGTTCTCCCCTCCCCTGCTGAAACCCCAGCCAGACTGCGGTCTCCTCCGTGACCCCTGCTCGCTCTACAGAGCTCCTGCTGCTTTCCCCGGGCGTCTCATTTGTGTGGCGTTTAACATATGCCGC